GGGGGAAATTTAGGTTAGATATATGGGATAAATTCTTTACTATGAGGGTGGTGAGGCACTGGAACAGGTTCCCCAGAGAAGTTGTGGATGCCTCATCCTGGGAAGTGTTCATGTCCACACTGGACACTGAGCAACCTGGTCTAGTGGGAGGTCTCCCTGCCCATGGCAGTGGGGCTGCAACTAGATGAACTTTAAGATCCCTTCCAACCCAAACCATTCTGTGATTCTGTGATCACCTAAAATTCTCCACACTCTTCAGAAGCACTTAAGAGAAAGCTGGATGTTGCTGTCATGCACCTATTCCTTACTTCCTTTCTATATATTAAAGCTGAGGTTTACTCTGACTTGCTCAGACTATTCCAAGTTAGTGCAAGCTGATAGTACTGGTAGTCCTTTTCCCATCAGACTTATTTTTTCCATACCTCAATTTTATGATGCCATCCATAGAAACAATGGTGAATGGTAATCATCTGCTAAATGTGGGTAGGGGTTTCTGATTGTATAGGGAAGCAGCTCTGAGGGGATTTAATTGCATTTCTACAGTTTTCATCTTCTATGGGGAGGTGTGCCTTAGGACTTATAAAAAATTCAGGCACCATTCTTCTGGTTGAGGATATAGCGTGGGAGATAACTGTACATAACAAAGGAGCTGAAAATGTTTGGCAGTTGCTTCAAAAGCACCTTTTGTCGCTACTACTGAACTCCTCAGTGGGTACGTCTATAAAGGATACAAGCTGTTCACGTTGTTGGTTTTGTTTTAAACATCTGATGTGCAGCCTGAGCTCTTTAATATAAATGAAGACAAACCGATGCAACCTTCCACTGTTTGTAGCAGAAAACAGATTTTTTTTTCCTCTGTTGCTAAACATGGAGGTTTAGACAAGCACTTGGCAACCTGGAAGCTACATCTGATTCCTTTAGTTCTGCCAAACTGGAACTCAGCTCCTGCGGGAAATGGGGGGGGTTTTGAGCACACCATCTTTGGCTCTGACTTTCGATTTACACTGTTGTTACTGGGAAGGTTGAGACTTCTTTCTTGTCAGAGGCTGCTCAGAGTCAGAATTTGGACCTTAATGCCCAATGTCTCACATTCTCCATAATGGTACTAAATGCAGAAAAAATGTTGTATTCTTCTTTTCCCGTGCAGAGAATCACTGACTTTTCTCACAGGAGTACATCACTGGTAAAGCCAGGAAATTATTTCATTGTTCTTTCCTTCAGGTCAGATCTTTTACACACACACACACACACACACACACACACACACACACAAAGAGAGATAAATGGTTTTCCATGTGATTACCAGCCAAATGTTTCCAAAGCCCAGTTAAAAAGTTTCAGTTCTTATCTCTCGGGATGTTTTTCGCTAGAGTCATATTTCCTGTCTTTTTGTCTAATTCCTGCTTGACACGTGTTTTTCAACAATATTTTTAGGTCTGAAGACACTTCTGCTCTGTATGCCACGTTTTTGTGGACCATCCTCTGCTCTGTTACCAAATTTCAGTTCCACTCAAGTTAGTCTGAAAGCAGGGTTTGGCTGAAGCTTTAGCTAAAGAAACTTCCAATTAGAACTAAGCATGCTGCTTTGTGTCTCCATCTCCATATAAAATACAGCAGAAGAGTCAAGGTCAAGGTAATAGAGGAGTCATGCTGGAAAAGCACATGTGTTGTGTGAATCATCCTGTTGGCTATGCTATATTTATCTCTGTCACACTTTGATATCATCCCTTTTCATCGCGTGGAAAACGTGTCCTGTCCTGTTCACTTACAAGTGAAATCCAGTGTCTGAAAGCAGAGCATACACAACATATCTTAGCTACTATAACTTGGTGCTTCACTGAAGAAGAACTGAGCCCTCTCTATCAAGCAGCTTCCAGAAATAGATAGCAAACAAATGAGCTAATATGTACGTTTTGGGCCAGACTTTTGGCAATTTTATTTTATTGTTATGAATCATTACATCTGTTAATGACCTGATGATTTTTTCTTTCTTCTAGATGAGGCACTAGGAGGCTATATCTCAAATTTATTTTTGTCTGAAGCAAATCCACGTGGTCGTGGGACTAATTGTTATGCAGAGTTAGGGGCTGCAAGCTTCAGAAAGGTCTCATTTCCTTTGGGAGTTACTTATTAGAATTTAAGCACCGCTTGATGACCTCCAAAAAAGTCTTGTATTTTATTGGGCAGTAATATATAGTATGCATGTGTAAAATATGTCAGAGAAAAGCCCTTCAGGGATTCACACCTGCTTCAGTTCTTCCCATACTAGAAGTTAGTGATATGGTGGAAGTGGAGGTTTTTCCAATGGATTAAGACACTCCTGGCTGGTTTGGGTGATGAGGGTTGTATGAAATCACAACTAACTGCTGGCTAGGCTGGCTAAATCCCCTGCAGATTCCAGTCGCACCCTGAATTAGTCTGTTTTGGTTAATATGAGATCTAGATTGAAACAACTACTGTCCTTGGGTTTTTTATAGTGACAATATTGATGTCAAGATGTTTTGCAGATGCAAACCAGGCTTTCTCACTTTCCCTGTGGAGTATTACCTTGGAGTCAGAGTGCTACAAATGTTTGGTGGGTGGCAGTGTTAACACTCTGTTTGCTGCTTGCCCTTTGACTGAATAAACTTCACTACAGCAGCTGAAAAGAATCATGATTTTTTGGTGCAAACAGGACATCTTTCAGTGTTTGTGGGCTGAAAAGTAGTTTGGAGTTGTTCAAGTCTGTGATTTTACATACACACTATGAAAGCCTAGGAAATGCTACAGAAGGTTCCTGTCAGCTCCTCAGTAATTTTTGTTTCTTAAACTGTGATTTTTCTTCTTGCAAAGAACCTGGAAGTCCAGGAGTCTTCATGCATCAGAATGCTTTATTGTTGCAGAGCATGGCCGTGGTTGGGTTGCACCTCACCTGCCCAGTAATTTGAACTCTCTTGTACAGGAACCCTGTTTTGCTCAGTCCTGCACTTCCTGCTCTCAAGCTGTGGCACGTGTATTTACTTTATTCTTCTCTTCTCCCAATTCACTGGTCTGAATGGAATTGAATCACTGGTTGAACAGCTGCATTGTGTCTAATGTCACTTTTCAGACATGGAGACTCCTTATTCATTCCCATTTTGATGCAGATACCTTTTGACACCTCAGAAAGAGGGACTAGCACAGGTCATGTAGGCCAGGAGGCTCCCTTCACTCTCTTTCCCTGTCTTTGCAAACATTTCTGGCTTTCTTTTACTGTTTACTTACTGAACCACTCAGTCTTGTGCTAGTTTGAATGTCTCCATTGTCTAGACACGCTGCCAGCAGCAGCAAGTCTGTAGCTCTCTGTGTGATGCTTCAGGTCCTAGCTAAGGAATCTAGCTAATAACTTATTAGCTTCTCATCTCCACTGGGCTCACTCTGAAAAGTGCTTTATTTTGAATTGTGGAGCACACAGATGGCAGCACAGTATTTATCTCCAGGCTGTCACATCACTAGTTGTTCTCAAAATGGAGTGCCTTCACAGACTGGTCTCTGCTGAGGTCTGGGGCTTTAAAAGAGCCTTTTCCTGAATAGGATTTGATACAATGGAGAGAAAAGGAACAGCATCTGCACTTACAATGATGGCTCAGGGGCATTAATGCTTTTCTCAAGCACACGCACACGCTCTATCAACACAGAGCACAGCAGCCTGTGGATATTGTCTTCTCAGTTTGACCTCCTTTGTCCAGTAGTTGTGGGGAGGATGGGAGGCAATGTGCAATACCTTTTTGCGGTTTATCTGTCCGCTCCCTGAATGCCCTTTAGCACCCACAGCCCAGGAACTGCTGTAGTAGAGTTAAAAACAGCACATATTTGGGGTTAAAACCGGGCACGAACTTAGCTTACTGTAGGGGCTATACCACCTAAGTTCCTTAAACTGACAAGAGCTGCTATTCCCAGAAGGCAGGGGAGAGGGAAGGAGAAGGAAGGAGAAGGAAGGAGTTTATAATTCAACACTCGAGTAATCAGAGAGATTTTATCTTTTGGCCTTTTCACATACTGTATCACCAAAAGAGCTCTTGGGTGGTCGTAAGTCCCTTTGCTGCCCACCCACTACTCTGGATGACTGAACAGCCTGTAGCACTGACTGATCTTTTCCTTGGTAAGACATTTTTATTCCACAGGCACTGAAATGCAGACTGATGAGTAATTGCTTTATTTTTCCTTAAGCTGGAAAACACAGGGCTGGATTTTTCACATTTGCACAGAATTTGGGGAGAAGGTTTAACAGATCTCTGAGTCTGCTCTAAGCTTTTATATCATTGTTGGACTTGGACAACACTGGTAAGCAACCTATACACAGGCATATTTTTCCAAATGTCTGTAGAGCCACTCAGAGAGTAGGTGGAGCAGATGTGTTGAAGCGTCAGGCTTTAGCCTGGGTCACACCTGTCAGTGTAATTGGAAAAACCCAGCAGTGATTTGCCAGGGTGGAGTTGGGAAATGGGAGTTTTTGATTGCAATTACAAGGCTGTAGTGTTGCATAAGGAGGCTTTCCTCTCACATAACCTCTTCGAGGCTTCACTTCAGTCTTTCTCCCTCTGCACCGGCTGGGGGTGTGTCAGCCTGTGACAGCCTGAACATGCTTCCCTATCAGATGGGTGCTCTTCAGCAGTAGCTATTTTCAGGATTTGCCCAGAGTTGTCAATGAACATTATGCCAAAATCTTTATAGGAAGTCTGAGTTCCCAAAACCTGTCAGGATTCTTGTACACTCCTTCTAACTCTTAACCCTGATGCCTTACCTGTCATTTAATGAAAAAACAACAAGTTATAAAAGCAGCACCTGGCAATTGTGATAGGCCCTTTCCCGAGAAATGTGCACAGGCTTGAAAACAGTACAGTCTTTACTACTGTGTGCAAGCAACCCATGGTGTGACACTGTGTTTCCTTCCTAGCACAGTACTGTCTCTGGAGAGTAGAAAGCCTCTTACATTATACATTCTGTGAATTATCCTTTATCTCTCTTGTGTGTCTCCTCAGGGAAAGATGCCACAGACACCTCCCTTTGCAGTAATGTTTGACAGCAGCGGCTACAACAGGAACCTGTATCAGTCAAAAGAAGACAACTGTGGAGGGCTCTGCTATCATGACAACAATCTCCTGTCTGGGTCTCTGGAAGCTCTTATTCAGCACTTAGTACCCAATGTCGACTACTATCCTGATGTAAGTGTATGCATCCAGCTAAATATATGGCTTGACCTGATGCATTTCCTAAAGTGGAACTGTCACGTGCAGGAAAAACAGAATGTGTCACATCAAATTGCTAAGGAAAGGGGTTCAAGTGACTGATCAACAACAATAGGATAAATATATGTTTTATGTGAGTGCGACATGCAATAACTCACCTAACCTAGCAAGTCTGATTCTGTATTACTTCTGCTATAAGATACACAACTCTGGTGAGCCATTTATAATTTTTATTATTATAATTTATTTATATGTGTATATAAAATTATAATATTTAGTAATATAATTTATATAATATAAGCATAGACTGGCTTACTGTTTAATGGATTGTGTGTACCACTGACCCTTAAAAATCTGTCAGGCAAGTTGAGGAGAGAAGCATGACCACCAGCATGACAGGATGAAAGTATTTATTTCAAAACCAAACAGTTTTTAATACATTGCTCATCTGAGATCCACGTGTATCATGAAATGGAAATGTTGAACTAGTACCGCACCGTTGGGAATCAACAAAGGCTGAATGTGAGAGTAGGACGTTTGCCATATGAGAATTTTTGGCCTATCTAGACATATCCGTGCATTGAGATGTTTTATATAATTATTAGAAAAGAATATAAAAAAGAATGATGTCAAAAGGTGGCTGGGGGGCAGTTGGTTATGTCCGAGGGATGATGAAACTGCATCTCTGCTTGTTGAAGGGCTCATTCTGAAGACATAACTCTGATTATATTCAGCCTCTGTCATAGATCTACTCACGTTTCCAAAGACAGTGTCTTTTTTAACTTGGGTCAGAATTAGCAGCAGTACAGGACTGTGCTTATGCTAGTTCTTATGCAATAATGCTTAATGTAAACTTTAAATATGTAGCAATTTAGACACTCCTTGGTCAAACATGATCATTTATTCTAAGTTCCTGGATCTGGAACATTGTAGAATCTTTCTTGTGGGTGCCATAGATATTTAACTACTGGCAATGCGGAATAGATAGAGGATATTGGAATGGAGAGTGGAATGGATATTTTGAATATCCATCTCACGATGAGTGAGATATATGGCATATGGAAACTAGAGAAAAATAAAAAGAGCCTTTCCTTGTAACTTCAGAAAGAGTTACTAGTTTTTATTCTGTAAAATTAAGCTTTGTGGTTCCCTCCACTTTCACTAATGAGACAAGCAGTACCATGAGAAATGAGAGTAACTGGGGATTCTTAAAGGAAGTACAAGCTCATGGTGTGCAGTTTACCGAGGTTAGACAGGCAAACATAGCATAGTAAAGATGGTGTGTGTGTCAAAATTGAGTCGGCCGAACAATCTGCTCAACTGGCACCTTTTTTTGTTCTTTTTCTGAAGAGTATTTAATTTCACTTGCAGTGTGGAAGCAAGCAATATTTCTCTGTTGGTGTTCTAAGTAGCTTGGACTTGCAGCATGAATGTTACTCCATTGTTAGGCTAGAAAGAGTTATGTAATCTGGTAATGGCTTTCACAAAGGTTTACTGTAGAGCAAGAGAAGATGAGTTGAAATGTAATTCCAAGTAATTTCACATAATAAGCTTGCAATAAGGCTGTGTGCAATAGGAGAGCTAAACTACCCCTGCCCTGCCTTGTTTTGGTTATATCTTGTATAACTTGGCTCAAGCACAAGCTTATAACACTGATTCTGGAGCAGTGCTAAGTGCTTACTTCTCTAGTAGTTGCTTTTGGCACAGCCACATGCAGAGCTTTCTTCTGCAGGTAGTAAAGTACTGGGAACAGGTTTGTTAGGAGCACATGTTGAGAAAATATCAAAACGGAGGTAATTTATCCCTTTCTCTGTCTTCCTCTTGTTTGCAGAGGACGTACATCTTCACCTTCCTTCTCAGTTCACGTCTGTTCATGCATCCATATGAGCTCATGGCCAAAGTCTGCCACCTGTGCGTTGAGCAACAGAGACTTAGTGAGCCTGGCCTGGACAAGGTAAGATCCCACACTCTCAGAGACTCCTGTCAGTTCCAGTCAAATGTCCCTACCCTGCCCAAGGCAAAATGTTCCTACTCAAGAGAGGCCTCAGTAGGATTAAACAGATTGAAAATATGACACAAGCATGTAGAATTTGATGCTTTATTCACTGACATTCATGGGAAATTTCCACACTCCTCAGCCTGTCCTCCATGAAGGCTGTTGCTTCTGCTGCACTGTTTGTTTTACCAATACATGGGCTCAAAACAAAAGTGCTTCCTGTTTATGAAGTATCCTGTACTGGCCCTGCAGTGGTTCCTTTTCTTTCAGGGTTCTGAATGTCTTGACATATAATGCCAAAATGTTGGAAAGACAGAAAGATGAGTTAAGCACATCAGTGGGAATTACTCTGACATGTCTTGCATGCTTAAGCTACATTTCTTGCTACACTCTTTGCAGAGTGGCTTAGATTGCTGGCCCCTTTGCATGGGAATGCAGAGGTTTTTGTGTGTCACCTCCACCCCAGTAGAAAATTACACAAATGAAATGAAGATACTTGAATAATTTGTAGAATCATAGAATCATTAAGTTTGGAAAAGGCCTCCAAGATCAGCAAGTCCAACCTTTGACTGAACACCACCTTGTCTACTAAACCAGAGCACTAAGTGCTGCATCCAGTCATTTCTTGAACATGTCCAGGGATGGTGGAGTCACCACTTCCCTCAGCAACCCCTTCCAATGCTTAGCCACCCTGTGAAGAAATTCTTCCTGATGTCCAACCTGAACATGGCACGTCTTGAGGCCATTTGCTCTCATCCTGTCACTCATTGCCTGGGAGAAGAGGCCAACCTCCACATTGCTACAAGTAGTTGTAGAGAATGATGAGGTCTCACCTGAGCCTCCTTTTCTCCAGACTAAACAACCCCAGCTCCCTCAGTTGCTCCTCAGAGGACATACCCCCTAGACCCTTCACCAGCTCCTTTGCCCTTCTCTGGACTCGCTCCAGCACCTCAGTGTCTTTCTTGTAGTTAGGTTCCAGAACTGGACACAGCACTCCAGGTGTGGCCTCACCAGTGCCGAGGACAGGAGGACAATTCACTGCCATGGTCCTTCTGGCCACACTGGTTTAGATAAAGGCCAGGATGCCATTGACTTTCTTGGCCACCTGGGCATGTGCTGGCTTATGTTCAGCTGCTGTCGACCAGCACCCACAGGTCCTTTTCCTACAGGCAGTGAGTGCACTCAATCCCCTCATCCAGATCATCAATAAATATACTAAACAGGACTGGCCCCAGAACTGAGCCCTGGAGAACACCACTGGTGAACAGACACCAACTGGATGCAGCAGGTTCACCAGCACTCTCTGGGCCCGGCCATCTAGCCAGTTTTTAACCCAGCAAAAAGTGTACCTGCCCAAGCCATGGGCTGCCAGCTTTTTCAGGAGAATGCCATGGGATACAGTATAAACGGCTTTGCTGAAGTCCAGATCAACTGCATCCACAGCCATTCCCTCATCCACCAAGCAGGTCATCTGGTCATAGAAGAAAATCAGGTTGGTCCGACAGGACTTGCTTTTCCTAAAAGTAATGCTGGCTGGGCCTGTTTCCTAGGTTGTCTTTTATGTGCCATGTGATCACATTCAGGATAATCTGTTCCATAACCTTCTCTAGCTCCAAGGTCAAGCTGACAAGCCTGTAGTTATTCAGATCTTCCTTCTGACCCTTCTTGCAGATGGACATCACACTGGCCAGCCTCCAGTCATCTGAGACCTCCCTGGTGAATCAGGACTGATGATAAATGATGGAAAGTGGCTTGGTGAGCTCTTCCACCAGCTCCCTCAGTACCCTTGGATGAATCCCATCCAGTCCCATAGATTTGTGTGTGTCAAAGTGGCACAGCAGGTCACTCCTTCCTCCTGGATTGCAGGGGGTCTATTCTGCTTCCCATCCCTCTCTACCAGCTCAGAGGGTGGCTGCCCTGGGGATAATCAGTCTTTCTGTTGAAGACTCAGGGAAAGAAGCCATCAAGTACCTCGGCATTTTCCTCATCCTTGGTGACGATATTCCTTTCTACATCCAATAAAGGATGGAGATTTTCCTTGGCCCTCCTTTTGATGTTAATGTATTCATAAAAATACTTTTTATTATCTTTCACAGCAGTGACCAGATTGAGTTCTAGCTGAGCTTTCACCTTTTTAATTTTTTTTCTACATGACCTAGTGACATGCTCGTACTCTTCCTGAGTTACCTCCACTTTCTTCAAAACATCATACACCCTTTTTTTCCCTTGAGTTCCAGCAAAAGCCCCCTGTTTAGCCAGGTTGGTCTTCTTCCCCACCAACTCTTCTTTCAGCACTTAGGGACAGCCTGCTCCTGTGTCTTTAAGATTTCCTTCTTAAAGTATGTCCAGCCTTCCTGGACCCCTTTGTTTTTATGGACTGTTTCCCAGGGACTCTCTGAAGCAGTGTCCTGAACAAGCCAAACTCCATCCTCTGGAAGTCCAAGGTACAGGTTTTGTTACTCCTTACTTCACTGAGAATCTAAAATCATTTTGTGGCCACTTTGCCTAAGACAGCCTCCGACCACCATATCTCCCACCAGCCCTTACCTCTTCGTAAACAGGTTGCTCAGTGTATGGTGCAGGATGTGCATAAGTCTTGGCAGAACTGAAACATATCATTTTCATTGTTGACAGTCATGAGTTATTGAAAGACTAATAAATGTCTTGCACTGAGACACTCCAGATAATGAGGGGTCATCCTAAGGTTTCCACCTACCTGAGGCCTAATTTCCAGGTCAGTTAATCCAATGAGTGTCTCTTCACTAGCCTCCATGGCTATTGACTCTGGCCTGTGATCCAATGCTGAATTAAATTAAGCCTAAAAATTTAACTGACATTTATACCTTTATGCTCCACAGTATCCTTCAGGATGGAATTCTATTTCCTTTGAGTTAGATATTTGCTGCATTACTGTTACATGTAACATTCCTACTGTTTTCAAATAGAACTGGATGCAAAAAATTGCACCGAAAATCCTACAGTTATTGACTGAATGGACAGAGACTTTTCCTTACGATTTCCGAGATGAAAGAATGATGAGGAACTTAAAGGAGTTGGCACAAAGAATAGCCAGTGGGGATGAGGTAAGTTGTCTGTATACACAAAGTTATTGGATAAAAAGGCATTCCTTTTACTGCTTTGATATTGCAGGTTTGTTGCTGTTAATAACATGGTATGGCTCTGGGTGGTTAAGCTAACTTACTGTGAAGGTGCTGGTAAGCAAAAAGTTCTGTCTGGCACCTAAGCCTGGGAAGAAACTACACAGCATAAACAGATCTCTTTCAAAGCATGGGCAAGGTTCTCCTCATCCCTAAGCCCATAACGTAATTCCATATTTGATGGATGTTAGCATTTGTCATTTTAGTGATTCTACTTGGAAGAAGCTAGCTAAGACACCTGGAAGCCTTGCATATCTGAGAAATCCCTATCCATGGTGATAATTTCTTCTATTTATGTAAGTAAGGTGTGTTGGAATTCGGCCTTTGACCTGTAGGTCAATGAAAAAGTTCATAACAGGTTAGGGGAAAAGTTTCTAAAAGAAAACCAGGCCAGGAAGAATTGTCTTGAGCTTAAAGCATCAGCTATGGACTCAGAGGAAAGCTGTCACATTCCTTCCCCTAGGTGAAGCACACAAGGAAATCACTTGACCTTTTTCTAAGTAATTCCCACTTTTCAGCTGAAAGTTCCATTGGAGGTATTATGAAATATTTTGATGCTTAACTGATTATTGTCTTTTAAGTACTGAAACAAACTCAGCCAAAAGCCAAGACTTAATGGAAAGGCGATTAACAAGGTTTCAATAAAGCAGATCCTGTGTAGCTGACATAATAGTAAGATTACAAAGGACAGTGGAGTGGCATTTGGAAGAACTATAAACACAAAGACTGATTGCTAAATGGCATCGTGTTTCCAGTGTTCTTCAGGACTGGTGTTCCTTATGTAAGCTTTTGAATAAAGATATGGAAGAGGCAGCAAACACCACGTTAACAAGCATGTAGGTAAGAGCTGGGAGGAGTTGAGAGTACTGCCAAAGGCCCGGGGAGATCTTGAGAGGCTGTAAACAAGGATGGAAGAGAATAAACCTAAAGGGAATTTGGAAGCTGAAATACATTTTGATGTTGTGAAAGTGGGGAGGGATGAAAGAGGATGAGACGAGAGTGAGACACAGCATGAAATATAAATGAAGAGGAGATTGAATTTGGTGGGCAAGCTGAGAGTTGCTGCAAGATAGCTACAGGGAGCTTTGAACAGTGAAGAGGCAATAGGTTTGCCTTCACTGTGGGTGTGCCAGAAGACCTCTTTCCCTGTACAGTGCTCCTCTACTGTTACTTTTTTTATCGGTACTCTTAATAGGAAGGTAAGAAACTAAAGTTCACTTCCAGAAAAAGTAGTAAGATTGAGGACTCACACCCACTTGAAAAATACCCATTGGCACAAAAAGAAAGAACTGTTTAGCCTGGAGTAAGTTGAGTTAGTGGATGCAAGAGTGAAATGAGATGAGTGAAGGGCTGCCTACAGTGAAGTTTCTGGTAATACAGGCAGTTTAAACTGTGAAATAATCTATTGAGGGGAAAGACAGATGTACAAAACTGCTAGAAAATGAGCACTAGGGAGCAATCTTACTCTGACAGAGAGCTGTAAATCTTTTCTAGGTCTAGCTTTGAGGGGGTTTTGACTTTGAAGTTTCCTCAGAAAGACAAAGGGAAAGCAAGCGCTGCAGTAAATTGACTCGTTCTATTGTGAACTGCTTGGAACAGTAAATGGCAATTTCCTTGACCTTGCTTTTTCTACAGATTGCTTGGATTTGTGTGAGTTGTTACCTTAAAGGATCCAAAAAAATCAATGTTTCCTATGCCTGTTCACTATTGCTCTTTTGCTTGTAGCTTCTTATTCCACTTCCTGAATTATTGAACTCTGGTACTATTAAGAGCTGTCAGTAAGAATACAACTAAAATGGCTCACCATGATAACCTATTGCTTCTTAAAAAAAAACAAAAACAAAAACAAAAAATCCAAACATTTTTGGATAAAGCTCTGGAGGGAAATGGCAAGTTCATCGGAATAAAGTTCATCGCTGCTTTGAACTGATCACACTGTAGTGTGCTGCCAATAGATTTTGGATGATCCTTTTTGCAGCCACTTATGTGTTGCTTTAATGGCTTTAGGATGGTAAGTGGAATCTGGGAGAGTAACCGCCTTGGTTACATAGATCTGTCTGCTTAAGAGTTGAGTCCTGCCCCTCCTTTGTCTCTTCTGTTAACTTAAACTGCTACATGGAAAGGCCTGGAAAGGCGAGAGAATAAAGAGATGGTTCTATTATCTTCTCCTTTTTCTCAGATTCACTGCAGGTTTTAACTCTGACTTTGGTGAAACTGGTCTTGATTTGCTCCAGAGAAAAGCAGGCCTTAATTAATCACTGAATGGCCACATATTTTTTTTTTCCCTGTGGTTTTCAGCAAGAGAAGATGGAGCATGTTCATTTCTTGTATTTTCCCCCACTCGTTGGTGACACTTTTCAGGAAGTGGATTGTGCACATCTTTTCTACTGTTCCTTGAACCAACTGCTTCAGTATTGAATCTGTGAGACAATCACTATTTAAATCCTGGATTCCTTTTGGTCTGATGAAATGCTGCTATTACAAAAATCACATAGTAGAGCTTATCTTGACAGCAAATACAGGCATCAGCATCCATCTGTTTTGGTGTCATGCAGTCTTTAATACTATTTTCTCACATTGTGAAAATGTCTCCTGATTGTTTATTGTCATAACAGATGTATCGGAAGAATGTACAGCAGCTCCTCCAGAACCTGATCCGGAAGCTCGCTGCTGTCAGCCAGTACGAGGAAGTGCTCGCAAAAATCGATGCCACATCCACAGATCGCCTCACGGTTCTGAAGACCAAGCCCCAGTCCATCCAGAGGGACATAATCACAGTCTGCAATGATCCCTACGTGTTAGCTCAGCAGCTGACACACATAGAGCTTGTGAGTTGTTATGCTTCCAAGTATGATTTCATCCTTCCCCTCTATTTGAAGCACAGGTTAATGTGGGATATGACTTGGCTGCTTCTGTGCTTTATTTAGGAGAGACTCAATTATATTGGACCAGAAGAATTTATCCAGGCGTTTGTGCAAAAGGATCCTTTGAATAATGACAAGGTAATTGGAGCAGACTTGGTGCAACTCTGAAAGGCAGCATTTAACATCATGGAGCTCACTCAGGTGCATCATGAGCTGGAAGTGAGGTCCAGCAATAAATGAGGACCAGTAGAACCAAGCTTTATAAGGAAAAGGCTTTAGTATTCCACTTAAACATTTTGTTAATGTTTTTTTCTTTCTGGAGGACAACTCCTAGAGCTCCAGAACTCAGCCAACAAATTGACTTTTTGAAACAAAAACCACAAAAACACATTTGCTGTCTTTTCTGACTTCAGCTAAGGGAGAACTTTATCCTGTGAATGTTTTCTCCAGGTCACCTATGTGGTCTACAGCTGGAAGAGGCTGAGTTTAACTTTTGCTTTTGCATTACTCATTTTCAACATCCATTTTTCTTCTTACTAAACTGAACTCTTTGCAGCAAATTGGCAAGTGGGGCAATTTGCAAGTAGGGCATACACCACAGAAAGAGGGCAGTGAGCTCTAGATCCATGTGATACGAAGGGCAAAAATGCAGTGGTTTTAACTAGCCGTGATAGAGTTGTCATCTCCTTGAGTGCTATTTGCAAGATGACTTGGTTTTCTATGTTTTTGAAGATGACTTATACTCTGTAAGTAAACTGTGCCGAAGTCAGTTCTTTAAAACTTGAATTAACTGACCTCCTTAAAACTGACAAACAGAATAGAGTGACACAAGTTTACAATTTGATATTCAGTCAGATGGTCTCTGACAATGATTTTGTATATAGAGATCACTAAAACTGCTGTCTACCCCTTTTTAGGCAACCCTGAATTGTTGTGTGGTAATGATTCTGAGATGCTACAGAATAGCACTGGTCATGAAAGGGATAATCCAATCAAAATGGTAGAGCTAATCTCCCAAAGTTAGGATGCAGTATGTTAACTTGTCATCAACGGCTGAACATAATGTGCCCATAGAGTGGCCTGGCCTCTGCTTTCCTTCTGCACTTGCAGAGAGCATAATGTTGTGTTTCTGTGTATTCCTGTGTGGGACAGGAGTAAGGACTGAAACAGTGTTCATATTCAAGGAAGCTTTAAGCAGATACTTAGCTTTTATTATTTGCATAAGTCTATCCTAAGTCCTTGAAGCATCCCGGTAGGACTTAAAGCATATGATGGATTCCACATGCCTGCTGAAGTGCTTTACTGGGCCAACAGCTCAGAAAGAAGATATACATGCTCACATGCTACCACTGCTGCTTTCCCTCTAAGTTTTTTGTCACTTTGGGTAAATGAGTTATTCCTGTTTGTTTGACAATGTTTGGGAATGGCAAGGCAGAAAGCCAAAAGGTCTCTCAGGGAAAAGACAAAAATTGCAGTAAAAGTTACTACTTTTCTCCTGTCTGTAGAGCTGCTATGGAGATCAAAAGAAGACTCGGAATCTCGAAGCCTATGTGGAATGGTTTAACAGGCTCAGTTACTTAGTTGCAACAGAAATCTGTATGGTGAGTAAGGACTTGTGCTAAAAGGTTTTGTTTAGTCTAGTTATCTAAAACTGTGAAGCCTTTTTAGAATTGGCACCTTTTGAACTTTTCATTCTCTCAGCTCTGTACTTTTTCACTTCCTGACTTCCTCTGAAGAGGAAATAAGTTCAGTGTTTTCAGCATTGTACTGGTGTCTCAGCCTTGTTCCTGTGGCACAGTGGTGATGTTATGCTGGGTTAGCTCTTCTTGGTACAGGAGTGCATCTGGCCTGCAGTTCTCTCCTGTGAAAGCCCCTTGTTCTTCTGTTCCTCATATCCTTCTTCTTGGCAGAGCCTCTTTGACTCTTGTCCTTGCTCTCTACCTGCCTGGCATCTGGATCATCTTTGCTGTCCGTAATGCTTTTGAACACAATAGTGTGAGTTTCTCTACATGTAAAGGATAGTGTGAGGCTGTGGTACACGTGGAAAAGACTTTTAACAGGGATGTTTCTTCTGGGGATGTGTCAGAGCGCCCTGTTTCCTGCTGAGCATAACACTGTAATGTCATCTCTTGCAGCACGTGAAGAAGAAGCACAGAGCAAGAGTGATAGAATATTTCATTGATGTGGCACGGGAATGTTTTAACATTGGCAACTTTAACTCCTTAATGGCTATTATTTGTAAGTATGTGTACTGAGATATTGTGTCCCTGTTTGAATCTGGATAAAGGAAACACAGTGCTTTACACAAAAGTCTGCTGCTTGGCTTGGTCAGCAGCGTGAAGTTGGGAGGGAAAGTGGTGAAGAATTGCTCAAGACTGTTGTAATACCGTGTATTATAAATTACTCAAAACCAAAGTTTTCATTGCAACTGTTGAGAGATTTAAATCCCCACTATTTATAACCAACTTCAGTGCTAAATTGAAATGGTAACTTTTCCTGTAATATTGAGAATTGATGTCTTCCATAATTTCTATCGTATCTTAAAAATCCTAGTGGGTTAAAAATTTCTCAGCTCTTTACATCTGATAGGAAAATGTTGGGAATATTTGTTTTAATTTGAAATGCAGAAACTTCATAGTTATGTGTCATTTTCCATGAAGCATGTAAGAGATGGTGTTGTGAACACTCATTTGAGCTTTCCTAATGTATACTCATGTTTTATCAAATCCATATTAAATAATATCATAGCATTTTTTCAGAGCTTTCATTCTGTAAGAGATGTAAATTTTGTTTCCAAGGTTGTCTTGGAATTTAAAGAGTTCAGTTTCTTGAATAGCTCTGTTAAAAATATTTGTTACTGTTAATAGGTTTTTTGCTTTAGAAATACTTACTAGTTCTAGCTACTTGAAAGATTTTTCTTATAATACTCCAACAACCTTTTTCTCTTACATCAAGCTGGCATGAACATGAGTCCTGTGTCTCGATTAAAGAAAACCTGGGCTAAAGTGAAGACAGACAAATTTGATATTCTTGAGGTAAGTTTGGCTAATATTTGGACAGGGGACTATTAATAGCATTCTATTTCTAACTGCTCCAAAATACAAGTTTGTCTTCATTATGACATGTTTAATTTTGGATATTTGTGCTGTTAGTGGAAATTCTAGAAGATGTAATAAGAATTGTCCAGCTGACTCCTGCTCTTTTGATTTTGAAGAAAGAAACTGAAGTTTGCTTGTTTAGATTTTTTAATTTCCAAACCCATCTCCTAAGAATTATGAAAAAAAAAGTAGGTAAATCCTTTAAAGGGAGATATATTTGAGAGGGATTGTGTAGATGGACCTTATGCAGTTCTGCCTTTGAAAATCAAGTAAGGCAGCTGCCTTGCACTTTCAGAGGGATTTGTCTTGAATTAATTGATTGACAGTTACCTTCAGATGGTAGAGAACTTGGTCAAAGATCATGTAGATGCAGCACTGTATGTGTTTGTGATTTACCCAAGAGATTATTTGCCAGCCACCTAATTATCCTGCTGTAAATGACAGTCAGTTAATTCAGGTTATTTATTAGTAAGGTAGTGTAATGTTTTGTACTTGACACAAGCATGAAATATTTATTAATATCATCAGGAGATCTGACTTGTGTTCTGGTGACAGTTTAAAACTGGATCACTGTAGCTGCCTCACACTTCCTTCCCGCACCCTTGGGTGGGAAATAACCTTCCTTGCGTTAAGGGTGGCTGCACAGCTCAGGATTGCAGCCCTGTTTCCTTTGACCCAATTATGCAGGCTGGACTAGGATGGTTAAAGTCATGCTTTGTGAGCCATGCAGTCATCCCAGTCATGAAGGTGAGCTGTGAGATGGGGGCATTACCGGCTTTAGGTGTCTGATCTTATTTTACCATTGCAAATGGATCAGCTCTGAGAAAGCTGCATGTTAGGAAGAGCAGAATATTAGTGCCAACTGATGAATTCGAATTCTGAATTAAAGTTGAACTACCTTTTTTTTTGAGAGAGAGAGAGAAAGAAGGTCCATCAAGCCTGCCTTTTCTTTCCTGCCCCTGTCTTGTATTGGATCCCTTGTTGTGCTGAGTGAACATTTTTTTAAAATAAGATTCTCTTCTGATCAAATGAACAGATAAAGAGATACCACAGTCCTCTAAAAAGCTGTATTGGGGGTGCTGTTCAGAAGACCTTTTCCTTTTTAAAATACTTGCTCAATTCAAAAAGGATTGTGTGTGGTGATATCTCATTATTTAAATTCCTTCATGCCGTGTAGCATCAGATGGACCCTTCTAGCAATTTTTATAATTACCGAACTGCTCTGCGTGGAGCCACTCAAAGGTCCCTGACAGCTCATAGCAACAGAGAGAAGGTATGTTTACAAATGACTTGGCAGGAGGCAAAATGAAATGCGCTTGTTACGTTGCATGGTAAACTTTTATCTTGGAAGTCTGACTCTAAGCAACTCTGCCTCTGGTGGGGTTGTAAAAAGTGTCTCAGGGCTGCCAGTCCACTTGGGTGCTGACAAAGCTGCAGACATTAAATGATCGCTTTGATTGTTTAAATAAAGTAAGTGTAGTATATATTGCCTCAGCTCTTTTTTTTTTTTTTTTTTTTGACAGAGAACTCTATCTCACAAACCAGTAAAACAAATGGAAATGAGGTTGCTAGTAATTTGTTCTTACAGCTGCTACTTGTGCTAAATTTTAAGTGATTTATGGCTTAGGGTGGAAAAACTTTAAAACTTGCCCAGAAAAGGTTTTCTAAAACTTAAATCTAAACAGAGGTGTGGAATCCCCTTCCTGTATTATAGTCTTTAGATGGACTTTAAATATACTCTAAGGTTTTTTAGTGGGAATGGTGACATAAATCAAGTCTTTGTGCAATCCACTGAGTTAAAATCCACCTTCCAGGTTCAAGGGTGACTGTGAACTACGCATTAATAGAGGTGGTATTTTTCTTTAGTCTTAAAATAAATTAGCTTTTGAGAAATAAACTCTATTTTGTCATACATTAATGCAGAATCTCAGTTGCAGTTCTTGTGGAAAGGAGCCAAATAGCTTCCTAGCTGCTCTCCACTTAGAAGCAGTTGCTCATCAACTGCATATAATATTAGGGCTGTGTTTAGTAACTCTGATCTTATTGCTAATAGAGTGAACTACCAGGGAGATGAAGCAAATCTATGTGCTGTCTATACTGTTGTTAAACAGGGAATTTTTTTCTAAGTCCTAAGGATCTGTTCAAATATCATTCAAAGTACCAGAAGTTTAAGATGCTTACTTCTTTTCAGAGAAAAGTGAGTTCTAAGGCTTCAAAGAAAGAACTTACAACTATTGAAAAACTGCAGTGAAGTCTTCCATGGAAATAGTGATAAGGGGTATTTGTTTTATCCTCAGTCGTAAGAAGGATGTGTAGCTGTGAAAATTTTAGTAGGATGAAAATTAAAATAGAACCATTTTAAGAATGTGAGAATGTTCCAACGTTCTCCAAAGAAAACCCCTTTGATTTGTTCACTTGGCAGGAAATGCTTCATTTTAAGCCAACGAGTACCAAAGTTCAATTTCTTGCATGAGCTCAGGGAGTTGTAGTTTGAAAACCATTTATGCTACTAGCCCCAAATTTTCCCTGCTGTGCTTTAATGCATCTCCTCTCATTTACCAAGCACATCCTGTCAAGAGGGAAAGCTACACTATGAGATACCCTACAGGGATTACACGTGAGAAGTAGGCACCTCTGAGCATTTATCTTCTGGAATCTACAAGGAAGAACAAAAAAATGAAAACAAGAGGGACGTGACATAGAGACAAAATGTTAGGCATATTGTTGTTCTAAACACATCTCTCATAGCCACAGCTGTCAAGCAGCGAAGTCCTAACAGGTACTTTGGTTGTGATCTTGAGGGAGCTATGTTGCCAAAAGGAGTTCAAGTTAATGGAAACAGTTTGGCACAAAGATGAAAGTAAAACTATAGGGATTAACTTGCCATTTAAGGGAGAACTTTCTTTGTGGAGAGGCATCATGTATTTTAAAATGTAGTGAACAGAAACTTTTTGTGCAGTAAGAGAGAGAGATATCACAGAGGTCTTAGTCCTTTGGTATTTTGCTTATCTTTTGTACCACCCATCTTCCTTTTATTTTTCTCTGTAGAGCATTATGTCTTGATTCAGGACCAGACTGAGAATAATGTTGTTCTTTCCTTAGATCGTGATACCTTTCTTCAGCCTCTTGATCAAAGATATTTACTTCCTCAATGAGGGTTGTGCCAATCGTCTTCCAAATGGTCATGTCAATTTTGAAGTAAGTAGAGCACTGGGTGGGGTATTGATACAGGGCCAGCCCTTTTAACAGAAAACTGATTCATACCATTGTCCAACTTCCACTGGATTCTGGGAAGAGCAAAATTAGACTGGAATTTGAGGATATCTGTTACTTCTCAGAGGAGCTGGGAGGTAGTCAGGAAAAAGCAGTTTTATTGAAGATTGACTGAATGTAGAAACTTTCAGTATTCATAAATTTTGAGTGGGGAAAAGAGTCAGAACTTTTTCCCAGTCCACAAATTCATCTCAGTGTTTCAATTTGCAAGTCATTATACTTAATGGCAACATCATTCAAAGTAGTATTTTAGAGCTTATTTTTTTAAACGCTCATGTAGTAGGTGAGTTCCATCTTTGACAGGGCATATAGGCAGTATTTTCATGCATGTAAGTCACAAATAGTCTCTGAAGAAACAAGTGATAGAGCAGCAGTCTCTTCTCTTCCGGTAATTCTGCCTCTGATTTCATGCTTGTTAGCCGGCAGTGTGGATTACCCAGTGCTTTGTTTTCTGGTACTTTCAGTTTTTAAGAAGCATGGGTCATTCACACAAAATTACAGTGCATTTCACTTGTAGTCATTGACCTGAATTATCCTGATTCTAAAGCAAGGCTATGTGATAATCTGGAATGTCTTTTTGCTCAAGGAATCCATGTGCACTTGAGGCATATTAAACTTTAATTGAAAGAGTTTATCAATGAATTACATCAACACACTACATGAAGAGGGTTTATTTTTGGCATAAATTTCCAGCAAGAAAATAAAATATTTCAGATTAACTAACTAACAAAAAAAATCTGAATTTTGAAATGTCAGTAGAGACTTCTGATGTGAAAATCAGTAAGTATTTCTTTGCAAAACATAAAGCATGAGTTTCATCAAAGTTAAAGGTTGGCACAACAAGTGTTACCAGCTCCTTGAAAAGAAACTAAGTGCAGTTCATGATCTACTGTATTTGTGTTCATAAGTAACAGCAATTTTACCAAGGTGAAGGAGCAGAAAGTTAGAGCAGTTTGAACCAGGAACACAAAAGTTAGAAGCTGAGTTATTGAGTTAGATAATTTTCAATCTTATCTTAAAAGCTGGGGACAGTCCAAGGCTTGGAAACAAAACCAAGATCTCTCTCTTTTTGAAAAATGTTCAAAGTAGTGTAGTTCAACATATAGCACCTCTTCTGTTTTCTATTCTGACAGAAATTTTGGGAATTGGCAAAACAAGTCAGTGAATTTATGACATGGAAGCAAGTGGAGTGTCCTTTTGAAAGGGATTGGAAGATTCTGCAGTACTTGCTTACTGTCCCAGTCTTCAGTGATGATGGTAAGTTCTGGACTTCCTACAGGTCTGATGTCACTGGCTACTGCCTAATCTCTTTCCATATTAAGTTGTGGCTTCCTCATAGTAAAGACTTTGTCCTGAGACATCTCTGGCAAGTAAAAAACCCTTCTCCCTTACAAATGGCAGAGAAGATAAGATTTTTCTTTTATATGCATGTGGTCTGTGACAATCAAGATTGTCCTTTTCTCTGAAATGGAATGAAAAAAATTGATGTGGTTCTTCTAAATGTCATATGAAATGTATTTACATGGACTTTCAGGATACTTTGCACTAAAGGGTGCTGCTCGAGAAAGAAAACAGGGACTTCACTAGTTACTTACAAAGCAACGTGTCCCTGGGCTCAATTTTTTTTCCTTTTGAGTGCTTTCTTCTACTCATGCATTTGAGTTTCCACTAGTTGGGTTTTTTTGCCCCTCAGGGTAGTCTTTGTTCTCGTGCACAGTTTGTTAGTGTGGTCTGGACACAATTACAGGCAATGCTATACTTCCTAATGGGATTCTGGAGCCCTAATCTGAGGGATGGATAATACATGCCCACTTCATTTAACTCAGTCCACTTTTCAGGGAGAGCAAATTCTAAAACGCCAGTAGGCCTGACATAATGTATTTGCTTCTGATTGCAGCACTTTACTTGGCTTCCTATGAAAGCGAAAGTCCCGAGAATCACATTGAAAAGGACAGATGGAAGACACTAAGGTTTGTGTCAGAGGTTACCCAGATCAATAAACAAACAGAGCAAGCATCACACAGTTAAACCCAAATGGCACACTACATGTTTCAACAGATGGAGCACAGTATCGTTGTAAATCCCTCCACCAGTCTGGGACTCTTGGAAAAATATAGAACAATCGGTCTTTATCTTAAAACCCCTCAGTCCTTTTTTCCCCTCAGGAAATGGGAATTAGAAAAAGTAATTTTGTATCTTGATTTCTTGTGTTACTCAGTGTTGGAAAAAAATATTTTCTAAACTCCAAGCAATCTCTACCCCCTTACAAGTGCAATACAAAGAACGCTGGTTTCCAAGCAGATGTTTTCACAGCAACTGTGTCCCTTTATGCATCAGCCTTTCAGACAGGGCTGAGGTTTGCACAAAGATCACTCTGGGCCAAATGCATTCATGAAACCAGTTAACAATTTAGAGTCCAGACTGGAAACAACAAATGTAAGCAAAGTTGTATTTTTGGTTTTTGTTCTACTGCTGGTTGAATATAACCAGGTCTTTCATTTTTACTAGCTATGGAAGGATACGTGAACCATTACGACATTGTTTTAGACCATGCTTTGCCATTTGAATTTTAATTTTTTATTTTTTCTTTCAGTTGAATTCATGGCAGCTGAGAAAACTAGTCAGGTGCATAAATAGATAGAGAATTAAGCAGATGTAGGAACAGCCTGTGTTTATACCCCTAAGCTATACCTCCCCTTTACTCTTAAAACTGCTGATATCTGAAGGAACTGGCCATTAGTCAGATGTCCTTGTCACTGTTGCAGGCAGCTGGTGTGTTAACACCTGGAGGTTCACATGGATATAACATCCCAACTCTTTCAACCCACTCTGCAGCACTGCAAAGAGACACCAAACACCACAACCCTAAGGATTCTCCTTAGGCCATGTTGGTTTTTCCTGGAATATCACAAGGGGATGTAACAATTGCATTTCATTAATTCCACTTATTTTGAGGAGGATACAGAGAAAGTTACTCACATCAGGGCACAGACAACTCCACATTACAAAGGGTGGCAAGATGAAAATCTGTGGTAACACAAATCTCAGCTTCACAGGATCATTTTCGTAGGCACTCCAAAGCTGTCTGAGAAGATTTACATCATTCTAATGATTGTCTTTACCTATTTATATTTCCCTCTTCCTTTCAGGTCAGCGCTTCTGGGCAGAGTCTAGTGCACAAAATGTCTGGTGTTGCTGCATTATGTGGATTACCAAGGGGCACGGCTTGGTTTATTCTTCTGTACACTGAGTGGCATTCAAAGTGATGAACAATGTGCAAGTCAGTTGTGATAGTGTGTCAGCAAAGATGAAAGAAGTTTAACTCAAGAACAAACAGGCAGCTTCTCACATCTGACAGATGAGATAAAATCACAGCCCACTCAGCTGTGATTCAGGCTTAAGTATTGATTGAGAACAGTGCTGACAGAATCCTTTGAAGATCTCAGATGTCACCTATGAATCATTTCACACCTGGATGGAATATTCTTTCCTTTCATTTTTGCTGGAGCTTGCTGCTATGAGGACTCTGCCGAGTTTGCAGCAGATTACAAAGGGAAAATATATTCACCATTCCTTTCAGTGAAACCCAAGCCTGCATTGAAGATTTCCTATTCCTAATAAGCTGAATATAGCCCAGAAGTTTGCCTGATTGGGATTGCTGAGAAGGGAAAGGACTGGACGCAACAAACTGGCTGCTGAGGAGAGTTTCTCTCCACCACTATCATAGTGGCTGTGGTTTTTTTCTTTTTCCAGTATGTTTTTGAGTTGGCTGCTGGGAGGCAAACTCATTATTATTGTAAGTTATTTAAAAAATATATAGTAATAAAAATCAAGGCTGTGGTAGAAAATACACCTGCTATAAAAATATAGGACTTATGTAGCTCTGCAATTTCTAGGGAGGTTGTTTCTTTTGTTCACTTCTTTACAACTAACCACTTCATGTTATGGACATTCTTATTTTTACTGTATGGTATGGTTTTGTTCCTATAATTTTCCATTCTTGACTTTCTTCTTGTATTAGCTTGAACAAGCTGACTTTTCTAGAATAGTCTTTGAGAAACTGGTGTACAAACTGCATTGAAATATGAAAGTATGTTTTCATTGAGTAATTTTTATAACTGCTCTTTTTTGAAACGCTGACAATGGAGAACACAATCCACTTTGACTGAAACAGCAAGATGCCAAAAACTAAAAAAGAGGCTTTTTCTCAAATACAGCTATGAACAAAACAGTATTCCTGTGTGTTTGCTTTTAGGGATTATGCTTATGACTGTGAAGTAGTCCACTGTGTTACACACCTAATAAGTTTTTAGTAGCTCTGAATACTTGGTCACTCTATCTGAGGAACTGATGGGAAAAACCCACAAACACGTAGCTGTTGATCATCCTGGATGCCAAATCAAAAAGCAGAAGTACATACTTGGCGAAAAAAAAAAAAAAAAAAGATATTTGCAATTATTCTGCTGCTGTTATTTAAAAAAAAAGAAAAAAGAAAATAAATAAGAATAAATATATATATTTGTTGCACTGCATCTCTTGAGTTTTCAGATAAGCTGGTTTTTATGTTCTGTGCAGGACTTTTCAGGCAAGTATTTTAATTTTGAGTTCTGTAAGAACTACTGAAGCAGCGTTCACCAATGGTGATACTGTCCTTAACTACAGCCTGTTTGCTGGTACAAGGTGCTGGAAGTTACATATTCCATAAGGGCCTTGAGTCCTGCCAGTGGAGGAGGATTCCCTTCCTCCTCTCTCATTCATGGAGTTAAGGCAAAGGAGAAAGAAGAGGCTAACTCTTGGAAAGGAGCAGACTGCTTCTGCAGTTCACAGACTGGCCTCCCAGCTTTCATCAGGTGAGATCTTTTCCGTCCTTCCCTTTACATCCTTTCCGTCTTGTTAAGGCTTATAGGCAAGGCTTAGTTTATGTACAAAGGTGGGGAAAACTGTGTATTCCTCTTCCATATCTTCTGAAAGTAGGATGATATGATAATAAGTTAAAGAAATGAGCTTCCATGATTCATCATGGAACATTTTCTATCCTCATTAACCTGCTTTTTTTACATTTTTGGTTCTAGCCAAAACCAGAGGATTGAACAAAGTGTTAGCTTACCTGTAAAAAGAATTTTTCTTCCCTCCTCCACTGTAATGCAGTTTGACTGCTAGCCTGGTGTAGAAATGGATTTGTTATTTATGCAGTTGGATTGAAGCCTTTGAAAATAAAAAGAGAAATAGCATTACTCAGCCTCCTCCAGAGAGGGGGCTCTGTGTATTTTGTGGGTCAGAAAAGGGAGCACAAAGAGGAGCTTTGGTACAGAGAGAGCTCAAGGTATGGCGAGGTGGCTGCTGCCATAGCATAGAAGATCAGTAGCAGGTGTGTGAGCTTGTGACTGCTGCTTGAAAGGGGAATGCAAATTCCCCAGCCTCAGGCAAGCCAGGGGCTGTCCTGTAACCATTATTGAATTCTGTGTTTGATGTTAGAATCACTGTGCCCTCTGCTACATCACTGGGTGCAGCCACTGTACTGAGTTTAAATTTTGAACATCCTGAGTTACTGTCAGACTGTTGAACCGCTGGCTTGGAAACAGCCATTCACATCTGTCTATAGCAAATAAGAGAGAAAATTACTGATTCTTTTGTGGTCAACCAGCTCCTAAAGGAAACAACACAAACTCTCTGAAATGAGGAGTTACAAGAACTCATTAATTCTACAAGCTGAGTGTTCAGACACGACTGAAAGTCCCACCTCAGTTCTGACAGATGCTCAGAGCTTAATGGGGACTGAAGCAACACCAATGTCTCCTGTATAAATGGCTCTAACATTGCTTATTTCTTTGTGGTGCACTTTCTTTTTGTGGTGCAGAGACAAAAACTCTGTCTTATGTACCCATGCGAACCAACGTGTTCAAAAGTGTCTAAATGTCTGACTAAGCCCACAAGAATAGTACCTGTCATTGTCATCCAGCTGTTACCCTTTTCTCCTATTTGGAAAAATCTTCATGGCATTATCATGAATAGAATAGTAAGTTGCATGCAAAAATGTGCAAAAGCCTATTAACAACTGTCATCTCTGAAAGAGCAAGCAAGAACCTATGCCTCAATGAGGGTATTTTGTGTTTGGGTTGGTGTTTTTTGTGAACCTTCCCAGACAGACTTTTCTTGACAGAGCCGGAAGTGACACTTGATCGGGCACTAAAAAGAATTTTTTTTTTTTTTTTTTTTGGCTAATAGACAAAATGTCATTCACTTTACAAGACTTCTGTTATTCTAGGGAATATTCCCTGTTATTCTGGAAGGCTTTCCTTGTACTAGTTGTGTGTAGCAGGCTCCCTTATGGGCTTCTTGCAGTATTTCTGCTGGAAAAGAACAGTCCTTTAGTAGTGCATCAGTGTCTGCTTTTTCTCTCGGCTCCTCTGTCTCATCTTGGTCATGCTGAGCAGATTTTTCCCACATAAAGGGGAAGGTTAATCCCTTAGAGATGCATTCCCTCACCATTGCATCTGTTCTGCTGCTGTCAGTCAGATCCAGACAGGCTGCTTCTACTAAGCAGCTGTATCCTGTGCTTTATGCTCACGGGGTCCTGTGTCATCAGTTGTTTTTTATCTTGAAAACGTGGCTGGCAAGGATATTCACAGAAACTAGACTATTTACAACTTTACTGTGGCTAGTCATGTGCTAAACTGACCCTTCACACTTGAAAATTGATCAGTGAGCTTAGAAGTGAGAGTTTAGCGTCAGAAAGGGTGATACCGACATTTTGTCATTATGCTGCATTAAGCTCTTGTGGAATATAGTTTATTCTTTCTCCTTTACTGGAAAGTTTTAGCTATAGTGTGACCCAAAAGGATGTCTCATTATAAGCCAAGTACACTGTCCTTCTTTTGTGAAGATTGCTTTTCAGGAAGAAAAATGTAGAAGATAATGTGAGTAAAGCAGCTGTTTTTCATCGGTTATTTATGTAGCCAAAGCAGTTGGAGTGCCAGTAATGCTCTGGGGCAGGATTTTCTGCTTTCTGGTAGTGTTTTTCTCCCCTGCCTTGTGAAGTCCAGAAGTTGAAAGGGGAAGTGGTCCTTAGGTGGACTTCTAGCTGCAGGGGAAAGCAGCATCTGGAGCAAGTACATCCCAGACAGCAATAAACCAAACAAAATACCTGTCTTGGTGTTACAGCGGGATTTCTGCAGGCCCCAAAGTTTGATCAAGTGGTCAAAAGATTAAACAACTTTCCTTAGAAAGAACCAGCCTTAACCAGTCCTTATTGTCTGATAACTCAGTAGCATTGACACGTAGAATGCCTTCCTGCTTTGTAAATGTGTTTTTCTTGAGAGAATGTTGTATATAGAAGACCATCACAAAGAGGTATTAGATACTTGTTATACTTAAGAAACAATCACCTTTAGGGGCAAAGTTTTCATTTATTTAAGTCCATATTTACTCCTGTCTATACAAATTTCCATGTATATAATAGAAGCATACTTAATTGGATTATTTAAGTGCTGCTTTTCTTCACAAAGAATCAAACTCCTTCTTTTTAATAACTGCCTTGCAAAATAATAGTTACATAATGTCTTGTGAAGAGTATCAGTTGTATATTTAGCTGGTTTTCAGTAATTATTTGTTAATATAGTAATGAAATTAATATATCAGGGGCTTGGTTTGTTTTAAACAACCGCTTTAGTGATGTCTGAAGTTGGTACCCCAGGGATGCACTTCTGTTTCCTACAGGCAGAGCAGGAGTTCAGGTGTCCTGGGGTGTTAGATACTCTTCACTTGTGACCCAGGAGATACAGGAGACCTAGATCCTTCCAAAGGAGCTACAGGGAGAAACCCTCAGTATGTCTTGAAGAGGCAGAAGGGGCCTAGAGGGCAAAGTCTGATCATGGGCAATTACGGGCACCTACTGGTAGCACACAGAATATTTCAGGCACAATTCTCACTGGGAGCCTGGGACCTTGTTAGCAGTGGAGAATGCCAAGCAGCTGACAGCCAAAATGGTGCTGTTTCCATAACCTGTCAAAATCATTTTAAAATTGCTTTGGCTGTTGGTTTGCTTGGAGGTCTGAGTAGTTAGCAGTGAAGGAAAGAAAGGAAGAGTTGCATTTCAACTAGCTGCAGCATAACTGAGTTTCCACTGAAGAGTGTCATACAGTTGTTTTGTTTACATGCCTTATTTTTAGTCTGCTACTGTTGAATTCAGTTTTAAAAATTGCAGGAGTCTTCTTCCTACTGAGGAAAAAGGAGAGTGAATGTTCATCCCTCTCACCCAAGGAGAGGGATGTTCATCCCTCTCAACCAAGGCACTGGCATTGCAGGTGCAACTGGTTGTTGCCTTGTGGCTCTTTCTTCAGTGCCCCTCTCCCTGTAAGCCCATTTCAGTCCAAGGACTTTCCTGTTTTCAAGATGTGGAAGGCAAACTGTAGTCTGACGGAGAGTGCCCTCTTGTGATATAAATGAAACAATCTGGGAGGACTTGAGGAAATAAGAATGAAGGTCCACAAGAAGTTTAGATTGTGACCATACCCAGCAGCCAGCAACTGCTTTATTTGCAAACTCTTCAACTTCCACCAACATGTTTTAACTTAGCCCATATTGCAGCTGATTTCACTGAAGGGGCCAGGGGACTGGCACACCACAGAAGGAGTTTCTGGGTTTCTTCCATGGGATAGAGAAGTCTCCAGCTGCATATGGACAGGGTGAGAGCTGGAACAATTTGGCCATCATGTAAATGATTGTCACAGGGAAAGTTCCCTCAGCACATGGCAAATGCTATTTTACTTAATGCCCTACTGAAAAGTGTTCAGATATTCTGAGTTGGAGACAGAGTAAAATGCAAAACTAAAGAAACAAAAGCATCAAGAGCATGGTCAGAAATTTCTCTCTGTAATTTTACAACCTACTGAGTCAAAATTGAACTTATTGAAATGTCTCTCATGGGACTGACCATATGGGGCATATAATTCAACATAAATTTTCTCTTAATTCCTTTATTTCCTCTAACTGCAGAAGGAGAGGTGGAAACCTCGAACTCCAAAAAGAACTTTAACTTTCTGTGGACAAAAAAGCAGCAAACCTGCCATTACACACATATATACTCAAGCACTTGCGGAATTAACCCAATGAGTATAAAAAATATTTTTAGATAAATTCATTTTCCCTCTCTCCCCTTCCCCCTGCCCCATCATTGGTCAAA